GAGCAGAAGCGGGTGAAAACTTCATCAACCTTATGCTCAGCACCAGAGCGCCAGGTAGCAATCATAGACCGGAATCACCCGGAAGGAAAGATTTCGACGGACAAATGGTTGCTCCTGGAGGAAAAGATCATGAGGGCACTACTTGGCGAAATCCAGCGTACCAAAAACAACAACATTGGTATGTTTGATGGAGCCAAGTGGCAGAAGGGAGTCAAAGTTGTTGGATGCGGTAACAAGGAGTCGTTAGACTTCCTAACAAACTGCGTCCGCAACCAAGATGAACTTTGGGCCAACGCANCATCGCGACTGGGTGGATTCCCTTGCACTGAGCCAGCTCAGTCTGGGGTCCGATGATTCTGGAAGACCGGCTGTAACCGAAGGAGTTAAGGAGCCTCAAGGCAATGCCAATCCCGACAAGAAGAAGGACAAAGAGCGGAAGAGAAAGATGGGGTATAAAAGCTCTCGTCGATTCCTCGCGAAACTGCGAGAGCGCGACCCCGCCACTCTAACGCCAAGGGACAAGGCTCTTCAAAAGAAGCATGCCTACATTGTCCGGAAGTATGAGCGACTCCGTGAGGAGAAAGTCTCGAATGCTTCCGGAAGTGAGGCCGCTGTCTCTGGAAAAGCCACAAACTCCGATAAAAGGGACGCTGCAACCAAACCCCCCTCTGAGGGCGGTAGCAGTCTGCCGACGAAGAAAGCTGCTCCCCTGTCCGCTGTTGGAAACAACAAGCCGTCGCAATCACTGACGCCCAAGGTGTCGAAGACCGCGAGGCCAGTGTTCCCACGGCTGGACGGGGAGAAGGCCTCGACGTCGGCAGCTGCTATTGCCTCCGGTGGTAGGGGACCGGTTGCACGCACTCCGAAGAGACAACTGTCTGGCGACAAGAAGATACAGCCTGAGCAGAAGCGGGTGAAAACTTCATCAACCTTATGCTCAGCACCAGAGCTCCAGGTAGCAATCATAGACCGGAATCACCCGGAAGGAAAGATTCCGACGGACAAATGGTTGCTCCTGGAGGAAAAGATCATGAGGGCACTACTTGGCGAAATCCAGCGTACCAAAAACAACAACATTGGTATGTTTGATGGAGCCAAGTGGCAGAAGGAAGTTAAAGTTGTTGGATGCGGTAAAAAGGAGTCGTTAGACTTCCTAACAAACTGCGTCCGCAACCAAGATGAACTTTGGGCCAACGCACGACTAGAAGTTGTTCCGCTCTCAGAGGAGCCATCCCGTACGACAGTGCGAGTGTGGAGTCCTCGTGGAGGACGAGACCTCACTAGCCCTAATCAAATGTCAGAACGTGGATGTCATCCCTGACGACTGGACGATTGTCCGAGGCAGCGCTCGCGACAAGGGTAACGGCAAGGACCTTTGGATCAAGATCGGTCCACAATCCTTGCAGATCCTTCGTCGCAAAGCCGGCCAAATAAGATATGGCATCGGTCACCTTAGGGTGATCATCCCCGATGCTGAAAGATAATCCGAAAAGCCTAAAGGTGGTGCAGATTAATCTGCATCACTGCAGGNTCCCGATGCTGAAAGATAATCCGAAAAGCCTAAAGGTGGTGCAGATTAATCTGCATCACTGCAGGG